ATTAACTGTTGTAAAATGAAAGATCGTGTAAAGAATTTTATGGACGCGGTGCATATTAAAATTATACAGTGTTTATAAATATCAAAAGTACTTGACAAATAGAGCTCAAAATCCGAATATTGTACATTATTGGCAAATGTCACAGTCTATGAGTACTATAAATGCGTTAATTTTATTGGCTCCAGAATGTAGTAAAAGAAATGAAGCACAAATATATTGCGATAACTGTGAAGTGAATAAGAAATTCGTATAAATAAATGTACACATTAGTACCTGTTACTTGAACTTAGTACGGGCAGTTATTATTATGTGTGTGTGGGATTATGACAAAGCCTCGAGTGCTATCTGCCTAAGAGAAGGGATGCTTTCGTGGAGGACTTTCTAAGGAAAACTGGCTCGTATACACGTAACGCATGGGGAAAACCACGAAAACGCCCATGCAGCCGGCCTGTTCGCGGGATTCGAACCTCGGACCGAACTACCAGTGTTCAGCGACTTTACCGCTCGACCGCTGGTGGGCTCCAGTTACTATTACGAAGTTTGAATTAATAAAATTTTAATTTTAAGATAGAAATTTGATTAAATCTTAACCTAAAGATAAGTTTTAATTCTTGAAAACTTCCTTTTTAGAAAGGTGATTATAGAATTTATCCCTTTATGTACTGGTATTAAACATACTCCAACTATTAAGTTTCTTAAAATAACAGATTTCTATGAGAACACTTTTAACAGTGTAGGTGGAGGAAGCCTGTAAAAGTAAAATTAAAAATTTTATACAAGCCCAATGAAGCAAAAATATTACTCCGTAAAGTATTCATTTATGCATATTAAATAAAATATTCCATATTTTTCAAAGAAAATTTCTTAGACGTAAGCTTAGTAAATATTTTCAAGAGACAGTAATTCAAACTTGATAAATATTTCACACATTTAAAAAAGGATATCTTTTATCCCAGATAGGAGCAGCAATCGCATTTAGCAGCTGCTTCCTAAATTTATTAACATCCAGGGACTGAAGGATAAAACCGCTAGACACTGGTATTTCGACCTGGATTGAAGTCCCGACGAACGAGCTGCCTGCACATGAGTTTTGCGGAAATACAAATTATTGTCCCTCAAAATATCATCCACGAATACATTCCTCTCCTTAAATAGATTGCCTTCGTATGCTTTGCCATAATTTAAGGAATTTGATCCCTATATTTGTATTCAAAATTATAACAATAGCAATAGGTGTGAAGAAATGATATAAAGTCCTTGACTATCTGAGCAAATTCTTTTGGTAAAAGGGTGGACTTTTAGTGCTTTTAATTCGCTAAAAAATCATAAATATGGTGTAGTAATAAGTTATTAGGTGCATATCAGTGAGAAATAGTAAGTGGATTAAAGAACATATCCATTTGTATTATATATTCAATTATATAGCAATTCAAGTAGTTTTGAAATATTTCAAAATTTTAAAACACCACTACATGCTTGTATTGCTTACATTGTTCCAGCCAATTTTAAAACTTTCCCAACATTTCGCACTTTATCATTCTAACAACTTTTATTGTTTGGTGTTGAAGTTAAACGGTGTCATATTATATTAAACGGTGTTGAAGTTAAACGGGCATGTTACGTGGTCTTATGCCAATCCACGCATCAAGAAATTTAGAAGTGTCATTTTGCCAGATTTGGCTGACGAAGAAATCATTTCACGTAATATCTCTAATTTTTCAAGCGGGGTATCTGCGTATCCCGTTTAAGAGCAAATTATTCAGCAAAGGTAAATTTTAATTATAGATTACGGAAGTTACTAAAATGAGATCGCCTAAAACGCTAGACAACACATCTGAAGAGACTGAAATAGCGATTGGAATATTGTAATATGTACCGCTAAAATAAGCTCGTACTGAATTGTTTTAAAATTTTATGGTTATATAATTTGATATTTGATACAAATGGGCATGTTATTTTTAGACCATTCAACTATTTGTGAAATGCACTCAATAATTTATAACCGTTGGTCATAAATTACTCAGCGGATTTCATCGATATTAAAATCAACTGTTTAAGATAACCACATCCGCAGAAAATTAGCATCATATGGAACTGTGAATAGTTATCTTAAAGATTCATTGTGTGCGTGCCTATTACATGTCACAATTTAGAAAATATTTCTGAGGTATTTAGTTGTATAGTTAGGCTTTTACAGCTTCTTATTAAATTAGGTTGCATAAAAAGATTAGATATCAGTTTTATAAAAACACTACATTCCATTCACGAAACTGTAAATATTTTCCTGAATTTTCTTTTTTATTCTAAGCTATTTTACAACTGGAATGACATGTCTAAGATCAATATTTAGGGAAAGGTGCGTAGCGCTCTTTTCTTGAACACATTGTATGGGTTATATCAGTGACTAGATCAAATCTTTTGTGATAGAAAGCTCCAAAAATCGGCTCGTGCAGAATGAATTTGCTGATTTCTAAAACACCGTATGATAGGGTGTGAAGACTAGGGAGAAACAAACAATAGTCTCTTTCAATTTGTGCCACAAAGACAGCAAGGGCACCTGAATACATTTCTGACATACGGAGGAAGATGCACGTGCTTTTCTTTTCAACTTGACTCTCCATTGCACCTGCCAAAACGTATAACAATTTCCTCAAGTTAGGGTTTTCTGTTCCTCAATTTTAATGGATCGAGGAAGTTTTAAGCATCAGCTAGCGTCTTTGAAAATGTGTAAAGGGAATCTGAAGAATTACCCAGTTGGTCGAAAAATATGGACCTGGTTTTAAATCGCCGTATCGTGTTTAAACGCAAATCGACCTTTTAGTTTTTCCACCAGAGTAATTAGAAATTTTTTTAATTTTAATTGCAGGAACAGATGAAGTATCTTCATTGACATGCTCAAAAGCTTCGCTCGAGACATTATAACGCTGTGCTGGTTGCTTGCGAATATCAAAGCTATATTATGCCATAACTTTCACGAGTGTGACCCTTCATAAAAGTACCTGCACCTTTACGCACTTCAACACCTTCAGTTTGAGAAGACAAACTTTCATAATGATATCCCAACAAAAAGATGTCCGTACAGTTATGCAGAATCGTTTCTGACTTGGAAAAAACTATCTTCATATAAGTGCGGGCACCTTTAGGCCGGGATACCATTATTCAGAAATATTTTAGTTTCCTATTTCGAAAAGCAAAGCAAATGAAGTTCCATTTATAAGAAGTGCCCCAGCATCAAGGTGCTCTCACCTTCTTAAAGTAGCTTCTCTCTTTCAAAACTCTCTCTTCTCTCTCAGCTTCTCTCTTTCAAAGAGAAGTTGATCTGCAGTAAAAGTTTGCAGGTATTTTCATGTCGGATATCGTCATGAAAGTTACGACAGAATACCATTTTGGCATCTCCAGCCACAGAATTCAAATTTAAATTTAGTTATGATATGGCCCAAAAAATTGTGTTTTTTCTACAGTGTAAATTTCCAAGACGCTTCAAATAAGTTTTCTAATAAAACTTTAAAATCAGTTATATTGTCTCGATGATCCTGTAAATCAGTCTTAAGTTAAATTCAAACAATTCTTCGGCATTATAATGCAGCGAAGGGAAGAGTGTAATAAATTCAAATACCAGCAAATGAAAAAGAAAGATGCAAAATTATGCATAAGACACAAAAAGTTAAATGTATACGAAATTCAGTTCATGGATATTTTTAACAAATTTTCATTCTTAATATTCACATAACACAGTGAATTATATCTTGATACCATCTTCCTAAAACGACCAACTCCTAAAAGTGATCAGTAGTTTTTAGAATGGAAGAAAATACCGGTATTCCAGCATCATCTCTTTAGTCTTTAACTTCAACACTTTTGCAAGATTTCTTAGCTCTTTTTCTTTCACTTTTATATCAATAGATAGCGCCAGTAGATACTAGCTAGAACGTCCTTGAATTTTTTTCTGTTATTCTCACGTAGGCATATGTTTATCTTTTCTTCATTTTTCACTCTCGCTCATGAAGATGAATGTACCAAACATTCACACATACTGCACACATCGAACTCAGTGGCGTAGCTGGAGAAGAAGGACCATCTGTCTCAGGACGCAACATCCAAAGCACGCCAAATTGATGTTGCATTTTGGCAAACAGAAGGAGGCGCAAAATCTTTGGAACTTTGTGTTATCCCCTGTTATAAATTGATAGCTCGCGCCATTAGGTGGCGCTTCGAGCATCTTGGCTCTGTTGATATTCTACAACTTAATTTTAGTTTGATGGAAGAGAGAAGGTGTTAAGCCTAAAAACGATGAAAGCGCGTACCTAATAATAATTCTTGTAACCATTGTATTATATTGTAAATAAAACATGTATGTATTAATAAAGAAGCGGATTATCACTTACTTCTGGAATTAATTCTCTCTGATGGTAATGAAATTAGTTACTACATCCCCTAATGTTGAAAACCCTAACTACGCCTCTGATCAAATTATACAAAGGAACTACAGCCTTAGATTGTTAGAATAATCTGATCCTTTAAAATGAAGTACAAAAACTTGTAAATCGTACGGTAAACTGTAAAACGTTAAATTGGTCAAATATACAAATGAAATCTGAAACTAATCCTTTATATTCAGTATTCTTGATGCGATGAGCTCATAAGATTCGTGAAGTGACGCGAAATTTTGTATTATCAATACATGCTTTCATTAAGTAAGATTTAGCAATCTAAAGTTATCTGTCCGCCATTGCAAAAAATTACCTCATAATGTCAAAAACTCTCGCATATGCGTGGAATCAAATATACTTGTAGCGTATTTTCAGATATATTAGCAGATTATTTATATTACTTACGACCATAGTTGTAAGAAGAATTTGTCCTCATGGTTACTACTGCGAATAGTTTAAGGTGTCTGCCACTTCCACAGACAATCAGTAATCTTGCCATGATCAACATAATATTACTAACACAGTTTTAATATTATTATTTTTTTTTTTTTTTTTTTTTTTTCTCTGCAGAATCTTGGTCGATTGTTGGCAAATAGCTCTTTGACACTTCAAGAAAATTCCCCTTCTAAACCAAAAAATAAAACAGGGGTGTTTACTTCATGGTCAACTTGGTCACGATGTTCCAGAAAGTGCAGACAGGCGAGAACTCGAAGATGCAGAATTCCATCAGAATGTGGGACAAACCTACTACGGGAAGAGAGGGCATGTTTTAAAAACAGGTGCACAGAATGGCAAGTAAGTAATCATGAACAAATGTCTTCAATTATGCAATAAGAAACAAAAAAAATCTCCTCAATTAATTTTTCACTGCGGATTACCAGTTACATGTAATCTAGAAGTGTTAGAAGAAACATGGTGTGTTAATTTAATGTAATGTAAGTTAATTTATTAAATTAAATTCAAGAAAAGTTTATTTAATAACAATAGAATATCTAAAAGGTTGTTTGCTGTTTTGATCTACAGAATATATTAAAATTCACAAAAATTCCCATTCTAAACCAAAAAATAAAGCAGGGGTAAAAATAAACAACTTCGGGGCAACTTGGTCGCGATGTTCCAGAAAGTGCAGACAGGCGAGAACTCGAAGATGCAGAATTCCATCAGAATGTGGGACAAATCTACTACGAGAATTTGCTATCTCAAATCTACCATGTAATATTATGCTGCGTTCCTAACCAACTTATATTTTTATAACAAAATTTCGTAATTTCTAACCGGCCTGTTTCATATTATTTACAGAAATAAGCTTACAAAAATCTACCTGATGATATCATTAAATAAAAATTTTACTCCAAAGCAAAGCGTAACATTTGGTAACATTACATATTAACATTCTTAACATTACAAGGCATTTTTTGCTGTTTTTCTTTTTTATTCTGCTACTAATGTTATAGGTAATATTTTTTGAGGGGCGGAGGGTAGGCGAAATGGGTATTTCAGAGAAAGGGCAATGTTAATACTCAGTCTTAATTGGAATTAAACTGTGTGATTGATATTCCATTGTCAAGAGCATTATAAAATTCCGCTCTTTGTTGATAACATCAAAGAGGAATTATAGATAGTGACACTTAATTTTTTTTAATAATAATCTCTACACAGTCACTTTTGAAACGAAAACAACTTAAAATTGTCTTGGAATATATCATTCTGAAACGTTTGTACTATGTTTGTTAGATTAAAAATTTTCATTTTCTTTTGTTGACAAGAATTCAAAGATTAAGATTTCAGAATGACTTAAAGATTATACAGGCCCTATAAAAATTGAATAATTTTTGTTCTTTACCACTTTAAGTAGGGCAAAAGAGAACAAAGACAAAAGTGAAAACTTCGCTTAAGGTAAAAGCCAGATTTTTTTTTTTTTTACATAACATATTGTTCATTATGTTGATTTATTTATTCTCAATAACTGTTACCAGAAATACGATAACTTTTGCGCGTTCATTCTAAATACAGTACAAAGTCCGTAATCCGGACGTCCATTATCCGGAATGATCTATAATCCGGCCCTCAAAGCCACAAACTTTTTTTTATGCTTTACGCATGCGCGTTTCCGATAGTGAAGAAAGTGACAGACAGAGAGGTTACTGAAAACGAAAAAGATTCGATTGACAAGTTAGTCGGTATTCTCGACGTAGCAATTACAAGACTTGAACAGTGGAACTTCGTAACTGAACAAGAAATTTTGTCTGTTTATAAAATTACAGAGAAAGTATTAGCACAAAAAAAATGAAGCAAATTAAACAACTTACATTGAAAGAAATGTTTAATAAAGTAAACAAATAAATATTAAGCTTTTTTTGTAAATTTTGATACCCTTTAGATCATAATTGCTCTTTATTTCATAAATTACGGTTTCATATTTTTTATTGTATAATTTCTGCATGCCATCTTACCAGATTTAATTTGAGGATCTATAACCCGGAAAAAACCCCTAATCCCGACGAGTCCGGACTTTGTACTGTACTTTGATTTTAAATATAAAAATCTTTCAAATTTAGATTTGGAATTAGGAGGTTTTAAAAAAAGAGGAAACTTAAGTCATTTAATTTTTTTTAATATTTTCAGGATTAATTACGTGTTTTAGAGTTGTTATGCTCAAATTTGAGATATCGTAATTAAGACTTCTAATTATTTCGATGTTTGTCCTAAATGTTTGAGCCCTAAACGTTTTCGATGTTTTCATCTATTCAAAATAGCGAGAGCGACCACTCCTGAATTCATCCTCAACATCTTCACGTTCGCCATGAGATCGTCCGTACTAATGAGAAACATTGTACCATGACATTTTTTAATTTTCCTGTGCTTTACACAACATTTGAAAAGTTGCTGTTCTCGTGCAACTGCGCAAAGGAAACAATTCACTGCATATAAAATTATAATCTAAATACGATAATATGTTAGGAAATGCAAATTAAGATGTCATAGTTATAAATACTGACAAATATCGTTTCAGAGACTTTCTGGAATACGTTAAAAAAATTATTTTTAAATCTTTGTAAGCGCACTGTGTATTGACGTTTTGTATTTTGCTATGATCATTACAGAAGTAAATCATATAAATTGTAGGATTCATTGTTATTAAATATATAAACTGTTTGTAAGGTTTCTATATTTCTTTTGAAGGATAACTTTTTTATTTTAATCATTTTTCAGAATGCAGAAAAATCTGAAATTTTAGATAAAACTCCAAGCCTACAAAAGGAATCTAATATACAAGAGTTCAGAATTTTGTATCATCTGCAGCAGCCTGGTCCTTATTCAGAATGGTCAGCCTGGTCACATTGTTCAAGAAGTTGTGTCACATACAGAACGAAGATCTGCAGGGTGTCAGAAATTTGTGGTGAAAAAGTTCATCAACAAAGTGCGCTCTGTTACATAGAGGATTCGCCTTGCGAAAAGCTGTATAGTACGCAACGTAAAAGGAAGAAGTCTCATGATATGGGTAAGTGAAGGCTTCATGAATGAAGCTAAATATTATTGATGAGTACTCTTTCATTGAAAACGCTTTAGTAACATTTTCAACAATAGGAATGCTATCTCAAATCTTAATTTTTTAATTGTTCAAATGTGAATAAGTCTGAAGAGTTCATTTTGAAATTCAGTGAGATTGACAACGCTTTGAAGTTTGTAAGCTATTTACAAGAAAATAGATCGAAGTTCCCACGAAATTGCTACAAAACTTTCAGCGCTGATAAAGCATGTGAACAAAATAATAAGTGTAAAATGTGAAATTTTTACGAACGCCAGCAACCCCAAAACTGGATGCTTAAAGTGGCACGCGCGCACGGAATATTTAAACCCACAGACCTTTAAACATAATGTATCTGCGAGTTACGATGCCGTTGTGTACATTCTTGGGAGACGAAGTGCGCATTGTGTAAGGCACTAACTATCGTTTAAGTAATGTGACAGAGAATACCCCATGTTCGACTTTTAACGTTAATGAAGTATTAATTGTGTTTTTCGATTAACCTAAAATGGCTTCTTACCTTTATCTTCTGGTATAAATACTAACAGACGTAACATAGGAGTACAAAGGCTGTTCACACATTTTTTAGACGATTTTCATTGTATTTAAACAAATATTTTACCGAAATGTTTGTGTTTTAAATGTTCTTTTTGGTAACCCTTATTCTTTACTATCTTTATACACCTTAATTTCCAAGACAATAAAGCCTTTTATAGTATCGGAAGAGGTACTTTATTCCATTCCTCTTGAACAGATTTCCAAAGTCCAAGGAAGGTTGTAGGTCGACGCTTTGACAATCTGCTTTTTAAAAGTCTAAAAGAGCAAAAATCTATGGGTCCATCAGGAAATTTTGTAAGGATATGAGTGGAAGGTATGGCCTCGATACACATTTCTTGTTCCATTTTTTTTTTTTTTTTTTTTTTTTTTTTTTTAGGAAATTAATGGTCGATTTTGACGTATGGTTGCTTGCTTTGTCTTGATGCAGTTCTACTGATTGATGACACTGTGGGTAAAGAGAAGATATTTCATATTTGAAAAATGGGTGTAAAACATGTTTTTGATAACCTATGGATGTCATCTTAGTTTTTTTTCTCCACTCTCTTTATTTTTAATTTGTCGTTATATGAAAAACAAGTAGCAATCATAAGTCCTTTAAAAATTTTTCTTTACATTGTTTGAATCATGTTTTAAGATTGTTTCTCCTCTATCATGATAATAAATGGATATTTTTTATTGCAATCACTTAAATGCATGAAAATTTCATCTATTGTAACAACATTTTTTCATTTTTATTCAAATAAATGTTTCTCAGAAAAAATTCTGCAGCGCGTTCGGCGATCATGGTGAAAGTGTATTGAAAATGGTGTATTAAGAATACGGCAAAGCACACGAGGGCTATCTGCCTAAGGTGAGGGATGCCTTTCGTGGAGGACTACTAGAAATGCCGTTACACGTTACAATGGGAAAACCACGAAAACGCTCATGCAGCCAGCCCGTTCGCAGGATTCGAACCTCGGACCGAACTACCAGTGTTCAGCGATTTTACCGCTCGGCCGCTGGTGGGCGATCATGGTGAAAGACGATGAACATTATGGTTTTTCTACTTTTTAAGATTTAGATCAACATAAATCACTTTTTTTATAGTCACGGAGCATTTTAATGATTTTGAAACTGTCCTTTGACTTTGCGGATATTCTTTTGACATTAGACATCTTACCTCTGCAACTCTCGAAGCATTCCGTTTTTCCTTCGATATATATATGGTGCAATTTTTCCACTAGAAGCCAAACTTTGACGTTTTTTTTTTTTTTTTTCCTCCCCCTTTCTTTTTTGTTAAGAATATTACCTACCGTAGCTTTAGATATCGAAAAAGGAATCGAAATATTACGTACTTTAGAATCGAAATGTTACGTAAAAAGATTGTTCGCACACTTTTTAGACAACTTTGTTTTGCTATAAAAAATAGCCTGCTTGGAAAATTCTTTTTTAACTCCAACTGTGTTTTTTGTAAAGTGTAAACTATCTTTTGCTATTTGACAATTGTGTTTTTTTAAAGCAAAATGGTGCTATTAAAGAAGCAATGGGCGAAAGGCTATGTTTTCCGAAGAAAAATATTCGTATTTAGCGACTATTAAAAAACGCTGTGAAAACAGTGATTTTTCGGTATCTAAAGCAACGATAGATAATATTATTGATAAGAAAGGAAAAGAACATCAGTTTGGCTTCAAGGAGGGAAATCGTTCAAAATATATATCCAAGGAAGAAACGGAATGTTTCGAGTGTTGCAAAGGTAAGAATTTTAATGCTTAAAGAAAATCTTCGAAGCCAAAAGACAGTTTCATAATCATTAAAATACTCAGTGTGAACTGTAAACAAGGTGATTAACGTTGATTTGAATGTTAGAAAGGTGAAAAAAAGTAATGTGCTTCGTTTTTCTCCACGACATATCGCCGAAAGCCGAACGCGCTGCAAAATTCTCTATGAGAAACAATTATTCGAACAAAAATGGGAAAATGTTATGACAATAGGTGAACTTTGGGTATATTTAAATAACCGCAATAAAACAGATAAAAAATATCATCATCGATTATTGACTATCATCAAATTGAATTAAAAAAAAAAAACTTAGAACAGGGTTCAAAGAATCTAAAGAAAAATTTTTAAAGGCATTTATGATTGTTGTTGGTTTTTGATATAACGAGAAATGAAAATTAAATATAATGCAGAAAACTGTTAAGGTCAACTCCAATTACTATCAAAAACATATTTTATAGCCAATTTTCAAATATGAAATACCTTCTTCTAGAACCGCATCAAGACAAAACAATCAGCGTCACGTCAAAATCTACGGTTAATTTCGTGGAAAAAATGGAACAAGAAACAGGTATCAAGGCCATAACTTTCACTCGCATCCCAACTAAATCTTCTGATCTAACATCTATGTACACACTTTTTCAAAAAAAATCGAAACACCATGAAGGAAGTGGTTGTTTT